ACACACGGACACACGGACACACGGACACTCACCCTCCTTGACCATGCCGACGGCCAGGCACTTCTGGAAGCGGCAGTACTGGCAGCGGTTGCGGCGGCGTTTGTCCACCGGGCAGTTCTTGTTGGCCAGACACACGTACTTGGCGTTCTTCTGCACCGTGCGCTGCGGGACAGCGGGGACGGGGACAGCAGGGACACGGGGACACGGGGACAGCGAGCAGGGACAGCGGGGACAGCAAGCGGGGACAGCGGGGACAGCGAGCAGGGACAGCGGGGGCAGCGAGAGCAGGGGACAGCGGGGACAGCAAGCGGGGACACGGGGACAGCGGGGACAGCAGCGTCAGGGCGGCCAGGGGCTGCGAGCCCCGCACCTCCGCTGCCTCCCCGCTCCTGCCTGCGTTTGCTTCTACCTCCTTTCCCCTTCATTTGCTTTTCCTTTTTCCCCTCTTTATTATTTTTTCCCGGTTTTCCGCTTTATTTTCTTCCCTTTTCCCTTCATTTTCTTTTCCTGCTTTCAAATTTTTCACTTTATTTTCTTTGTCCCCTTTTATCTTTATTTTTCCCCTTTTAATCTTTATTTTTCCCTATTTAATCTTTATTTTTTCTATCTTCATTTCCCTTCCCCCCATTCTTTTTTTCCCTTTAATCTTTTCTCCCTTTTACATTTTTCTTTTCTGTTATTTCCATTTTTTCCCTTTTCAGTTTTTTTTCTTCTCACCTTTTAAGATTTTCTTTTCCTTTTCCTCCCTTTATTTCCTTTTCCCTTTCCCCCTTTTATTTCCTTTGCCTCCTATATTTAATTTCCTTTTTTCCCTCTTATTTATTTTTCCTTTCCTTTCCCTCTCTTCTTTTTTTTTTTCCAGGGCATTTAACAGGAGAAAATTGACAGCGTTAACATCCAAGCTAACCTCGCAGCTCCTAGCCGTGTTTTATATGCCAAGAGGAGGGAAAGAGACGCTCAGTAAATACAAATCCGTGGGCATTCATATTATTTACATTCCTTGGAGACCTTCTCTATTTAAAATGATAAGATTATTCAATCAGGATGGTGAAATAAAGAGATCACTTAATTTTACCACAGGGAATTCTGTTCCACATGGTTAGCTCAGACGCAGTTCTCTGTCCTAACCCATTTCCATCTGCGGGCTCCCGGCCCCGCAGGGTCCCCTCCTGCCCCACACCCTGCCCGTGCCCTGCTCGATGCTCTGCCCACTGCCCGCTGCCCACAGTGCTGCCCGCTGTCCACAGCTCTGTCCAGTGCCCACTGTCCACAGCACTGCCCACAGCACTGTCTGCTGCCCACAGCACTGCCCGCTGCCCCACACCCTGCCCGTGCCCTGCTCGATGCTCTGCCCACTGCCCACTGCCCACTGTCCACTGCTCTGTCCAGTGCACTGCCCGCTGCCCACAGCGCTGCCCACAGAGCTGTCTGCTGCCCCACACCCTGCCCGTGCCCTGCTCGATGCTCTGCCCACTGTCTGCTGCCCACAGTGCTGCCCGCTGTCCACTGCTCTGTCCAGTGCACTGCCCACTACCCACTGTGCACAGCTCTGCCCGCTGCCCACAGCTCTGCCTGCTGCCCCACACCCTGTCCGTGCCCTGCCTACTGTCTGCTGCCCACAGCGCTGCCCGCTGTCCACTGCTCTGCCCTGCTCACTGCCCGCTGTCCGCTGCCCCACACCCTGCCCATGCCCTGCCCGGCACTGCCCTGGCCACTGTCCACTGCCCAAAGCTCTGTCCACTGCACTGCCCGCTGCCTACAGCACTGCCTGCTGCCCTGCCCATTGCCCGCTGCCCCCAGTTCTGCCCATGCCCTGCTCGCTGCTGCCCGCTGCCCACAGCACTGCCCGCTGCCCACTGCTCTGTCCGTGCCCTGCTCACTACCCACAGTTCTGCCCGCTGCCCACAGCTCTGCCCTGCCCATTGCCCACTGCCCACAGCACTGCCCACAGCTCTGCCCGCTGCCCCACACCCTGCCCGTGCCCTGCTAGATGCTCTGCCCACTGTCCACTGCCCACAGCACTGCTCATTGCCCACAGTTCTGCCCGCTGCCCACAGTTCTGCCCTGCCCATTGCCCACTGCCCAGAGTGCTGCCCATGCCCTGCCTGCTGCTGCCCTGTCCATTGCCCACTGCTCTGCCCAAAGCATTGCCCTGTCCATTGCCCACTGCCCACAGCTCTGCAATGCCCATTGCCCATTGCCCACTGCCCACAGCTCTGCCCGTGCCCTGCCCATTGCTCACTGCCCACAGCACTTCAATGCCCACTACCCGCTGCCCACTGCCCATGCCCTGCCGGCCCCTGGCCCCGCTCACCTTGAAGAAGCCCTTGCAGCCCTCGCAGGTGCGCACGCCGTAGTGCTGGCAGGCGGCGTTGTCCCCGCAGACGGCGCAGAGCC